ATGCTTATAATTCATTACTGTTTTGATTAACTGGTACTTCGATTCAGCTTTTTCAAGAGATCGCAATCTCTCGCTGGTGTTGATCTCCTCTCGACAACAGGAAGCAAAACTTTTGTCAATGCTTGTGCTTGGTGCACCGGTTTGTTTGGTTGGCCAAGCGGAATGCCAGTGCAAAATTAAACCAGTGTTTCGCTAGTTACATCTAGTAGCCTCGTCGCAAGAAAAATACCACATCACGTTCTTCGTAAACTTTTATTTTGCAATCCAAATAAATCGGTCATGACGCCATTCAAAAACACACAAATTAATATGCTGTAGAAAAGATTACCCCTTAAGAATTTGTAAGATTCCTGCGACAAGTCTAATAGTATTAAGGAGGAAAATATATTTCGACTTTAAGAAATTTTATGTTCGGTAGGAGGACGAGTGTCATGGTAGTTCAATTGGACTTTTTAACCATATTCTGTATAGCAGCTTGCGTGTTTAGTTGTGCTTATGCGCAAGTGAATTGGGATAGTCAATAGACCACCCTATCATATGTTGACACCTTGTTCGTTGTACATGTAGTTGTTTTGTTTGCAAGTATCTCTTAGTGTTTGTACTGATTTCATCAGTGGACGAAATGGAGTCATGTGGACTTCTAAGGTTAGACGTAAACAGAGTAAATCACATCTTGTTTGGCACACCACAAAGAACCTCGCTAGGCGGACCCTTCTCTTATAAAAAACTCATAACATATGCTCAGACAATTAATATTTAATTATTAATATCTAAATTTGGAATCGAAGTATGCTTTTTAATATATAGTGGCATTTATTCAGGCTTCTTCAAGATATCAGCACAGGATCTTTAACTGATTTGGTTCCTGTGTTTAAATTATTTTTGTTTCATAACTTTATGAAATTAACAACTTGCATACTGGCAATGCATTTAGGAGGTGTTTTGATTGAGAATGCTCTTGCTGTGAAACACATTGCATTTTCCTGTGTGATGTTATTCAGCCTACAATGCACCCATTAAAGTCTATTTTACCACTCACTTTCTCACCACCTATAATTTCAAGTATTGAGTTTGACTTGACAGATGTATGCATTTCCCAAATATTTATCATACTGCATTAAAACTGCAATCTACCAAATAATACCAATAATACCAAATAACATTATTGTAAGAATACCTTAATCCTTGCCCAGCCTCAATATTTTTTGGGTCTTTTATTCTGAGACTCAAATTTTTCCTAAATCATTCTTGAGTGACAAAATGTGTAAATTTGGTAAGAACTGAGAAAAGGCACATCTTTGCTTCTATATTTCTTCATTGTGGAAACATCTTTGCAAATTATAAGCTTGATGATGATGAGCAGAACTCAAACTTTTGTGTTTGAACCACTTCAAAACTAGGCTTGTTTGCTCAAAATACCCAGATAAACAAAAAGTTAAGCTGCTGTTGAAGTTTTAGCTTGGAAATTATTCTTTGTCAGTCCCTAAATTTCCACCTATTTTGTGCCTCAATATTTTTGAAAGATTAACTGTTCTAAAAAGAAAAGTTTGCATAATGTCATATTTTTGTTGAGTCTGTCATTGGCTGCATTAATTTGCCATTGGTAGTTTTAACTTAATATTTCTTGTAATAATAGACTAGAAATTATACAATAGCTCCAATTTATTGGAAGTTTTAAACAGATTAGTCTATGTCCAAACAGGTTGCATATAATTAGCCACAGTTATAACATTTCATGATCCATGAATTGTTAATATTTCTGTCCATGTTCCAAGTGAACTGTAGGTTTTATTTTTCATCTGATACGTGTCCATGGTGGTCTGTCTGCAGAGTATGGCAGATACATGCATGCAGAGTATGGCAGATACATGCACAAAGTCAATGCAGAACTGCATGCTAGAATTTGAAAACACGCACCACATTAACTATAATTGCATTATTAAAAAACTTATTTTTGCACCCTATTTGAATAGTAGAAAGAAGGTTTGCATGCAGAAAAAGTTGGTTGAAATTAGTTAGCATGCAAGGATCTCATTAAGAACTGCCATACTCTGCAGACTGGCATTTATGATTTAAATATTTTACACAATCAATTGAATCTCTGTCAAATTCAAAAACCATATCACTGTATGATGTACCAATATGATCAGGGCTATAAGTTCTATTGTTCTTGGAAAGATTTGTACCCTTTTCTTTGATTCTCTTGAACAAGCCCAGTTGCTTATATAGTTCTCAACCAATTGTGACCCTCCTATCATCCAGTATTTTCTGTTTTTCAAGTTTGCCATAGAAATAGAAGAATATATTGATGCTTCTGTTGATTGTAATCGATTAAGTTTCCCTCGACTGTTTGTGATATAAATAGTGCTATTTTGATTTGTTTTCCACCATTTTCTTTATAGTTATATCATTCCTTTTATTTGTATTTTTGGTTTATCTCTAATGTTTGCAGGATGAAACCATGATTTTAATTTGAATATGATTTTTCTAAAGCAGGTTTTTTTTAAATTCATTGCTTTAATCATCAAGATTCATAGATTTTATAATGTACAATATTTCAAAAAATTTGATAAGCTATTACTCTGATCAAACAAACAAAGCTACCACCAAGGGACTATGAATGGTTTGAAGTGCATGGTTAGGCCGGAAACCTTTGCTGATAGCTTTTCATAGCCTTACACGACAAAGGGGAATTAGTTTGTTATAAATATGTTAGTTAGCTATTAATTGGTATTATAATTATAGGTGGATTTTTATTCAGGAATTCCCCCTCCCCCCCCCAATAATTTCAGTGTAATATTTTTTTTAAATTATTTTGTGGTCATTTATCATTGCTGTATTATCTTTTTGAATTATCTATTAGTTTTGTTCTTAATTGATACAAATTATAACCACTCATTGAAATGAAGAATTTTGCCATAACATAAAGTGCTGAATAAAATGGTTTTCTTGGTTTGTTTATCAAACAAATTGTTTCATGTCAATTTTTAAATGAAAGTATGATCCACAGCCTGTTTACCCCAGTTTCAATTTTGCCCCACAATCTGCATATTGGCCAAAATTTCTTTGAGTGATTAGAAGAGTTTGAAAATATTCAGAGAAACCTTGGGGTTGAAAAAACTGCCAGACATATTAATTCCATGTAACTTCTGCAAATTTTGTGAATTTTTAAAGGCAGAATTAAAAGCTAAGAGCTCCCAATAATATGCTTGTATTATTCTGTAGAATTTCTGTTTGCATGTTTTTGCTTAAATATGGTCTAACCCAAAGGACTGTTCCAAAACAATATTGGCCTAAAGTGAACTTTACGTCGATCAAAATTGAAAATTTCAGGCAAGGCTGATATTTTTTAGTCCTTGGTTTCCTAAACTGATCAGTTGCTAAGCTACCTTTCTACCTACTTAAACATGCTGATTGTAAAGTAGTTTTGTGGGTTAATTTTTGTGAAGAAGATTTGCCTTTTTGTGTCCATATTTATTGTTATTATCTTTGTCTATGGATACAAAAGGTATTTTGTCAATGTATTTTCTATAAACTAAAAGCACCTGCTCAGCTGTTGTTTACTCATGACACTACTTTATAACACAAGAACTCATAAATATTATTTTTAAACTTGCACGCATATATCTCTTATAATGTCTTATAACTCCCTAATGAATTTTGATGTAAGTAATTTTGATTTTAAGTAAGATAGACTCTTAAACGCTCTTCTGAAGTGCTAGGCTTCAAATAGTTTGAGGTTTTATCGTTGTCCAGTTTTTGGATGTGCAATTTTGTTTGGCCTAAATGTACTTAGCAATTACAATAATCAAGTGAATTTGCACGAGGACCCTGAAAATGAACTATGGTAAATGAAAAAGCACCATCTTTCTAAAAAGTGAAAAGAAATGAGGATTTTGAAGCTCTTTTAGTGCGACTATTAAGATTTTAAATAGATTAAATCTGTATACAAGGCAGTTGGTAGACAGTTTAGACACAAAGGCTCTTTTATTCTGCCTTGTAGAGAAGACGGAATCCGTGGAAGTTTCCACTTCATTTAGCAATAGAAAAGGGAATTTTCATTTAAGTACATAAATATTTGCTAAGAGAAGTATTTGGATTTTTTACTAAACTTAAGTAGAAAACACGCTCATCTCGTTGCTTCCAAAGGAGTACTCTTTTTTGTTTTGCTTATTGGTGAGCTTAATCAAGTAAATAAAACTGTGTTATCCTTTGGTAGACCATAAATACTATGGCTTGTGACGATCTGGTTACCGAGCAGTTGTAACCGCCGCACTGGTCCTTGTCATGGCAATCTTCCAAGGGGCTTAGGCAACTGAATCTGGGCCATTAGGTTTTGAATAGAACTGTTTTTGGTAGAAAAAATGATAAAGGCCTAATTGGAAATTTTGTCCACGAAAGTTGCAAAAGGAGTGTTAACGTCATGAAACGACGCTGAAAGTCATTTGAGACACCGATGTTGAGGAGAATATCCCAAAATCGACTTGGTATTAATGAAAATCCAAAACACGACTCAGCCTTTTAGTTAAATCCATTTCCGCCACAGGAAAGGGAAAGTTAAATCCAAAAATCTTATCATGTCGCACGTTCAGAAGATCCGAACGATTTCATCAAACACATTAGTTTTTAACATATATTTCTATAGATGGACTATCGCTTCGATTGATATCTGATGAATACAGACTGCTTTTATGCGGTAACTTCTTTTCAGTTTCATTCATTAGCAAAGACTAGACCATCTCTCTAGGACAACTTTGAAAAAAGATAACACTATGCTAGTGTTAGCCGATATCTACGCAGTTTCTTTACAAGAAGCCCTTTTTGAAAAAAAAGTCCTAGGATAACAAGAAAATTAAGAACCCAAAGTACCCAAATTAAGAACCTTAAGAAATGTCTTGTCAGGTTATGTTATGTTATGTTATGTTATGTTATGTTATGTTATGTTATGTTATGTTATGTTATGTTATGTTATTTCATTTATTTTATTTTGTGCTATGAGATGCTTTTGTGTGTTATTTTACTTGCTAGAAGCCTGCTCTTCAGCTCTTGGTAAAATCAACCAACAAATTAAGTAGTTGAGTATTTGTCCAATGCTTAGATTCTAAAAAAACTGCGTATGAATAATTTTGCAGTTTAACACCTGGCTTTTCATGCCTTTCATGCCTTTCGTTCGTGCTCGAAACCTGGATTCGTGCATCTGAATTTACAGGAGATGAATGGTAAATTCCGGATGATTAGCAAAATATGAATTGGATATTGTGATGATTAGAGTCTAAAAGAGTCATGTAGGCCTAATATGATGCTGATCCGCTATCAACATCTTGTCATTTGTCATGTAATGCCATAAAACCCCAATATGCAGAATGGTAAAAGACCGAACTTAGTTGAATTAGGTTTATGTAGCAATGAAGTTGAAAATCACGAAAATTATTGTTTGTTCAAGACTTGGTCTTTCGATGTCTTAACTCCCCCATAGTGGCTGGATTTTCAGAGTGTTAATGGTTATTGGTTAATTGGTTATTGGTCATTAGCAATCTGTGCACAATACACCAATTCGACTTACAGCCTCGTTTTGAAAATTTCTCCTAACCTAATTATACGACTTTTTAAAGCTCAAATTTGGTTTATCACCATAATCTTAGGCCGGATACAATTTTTCATATTGTTTGTGCTTGTATTTTAGATTTTACGGAGAAATGAAATTTGAAAACTTGTAAGAGATTTGACCGCAAAAATCTTTCGGGGGGAAACTTTACCTCCCTAGTCGCCAATCACGGTCAAATCCCTTATAATTTTCTATCTTTTTGTCGTCATAAAATCAATATCGTGAGCAATTCCATAATGAAAACTTCCAAGTATACTAAAATCATTGCTCGCAATCCGAATCTGAGGTCACAAATTTTGTACAAAATAATTTGAAGAATTTTTCAAAATGAGGCCGTAAGTCGAATTGGTCTATAGATAGAGTCGAAGCATCGGTAGAAAATTGCACCATACGTAAGGCTGAATTGTAGCAATTTAAGACTCAAACAAGTTAACAGAAACAAGTTAGATTAAAATTTTGTTGATTACATCTTTGCTCTGTTGGAGGGGTAAAGGACTGCAATAAGCTGTATTGACAGAAAATACATTCAATGCAAGCTTATTGACTACAGATAGCAAAGAATTTACAAATTTGTCGAGTTTTCCTTTACCTAAATTTAGCGATGAAAATTAACAAAGTCAGATTTATCGACAAGCGTTGGTTTTGATCGTCAAGACATGATCTTTGCAATGTGTGACGATGCAGCCTTTAAAGCCAAAATGCAATCGGCCAGAAACTGTTCGATCATGCTTAAAACCTAAGCATGTTGCAAACACACCACTGCCATGTGATTGGAAAGCCATTCAACGAAGTATGACGCAAAACTTTCAAGAACACAGCTGGCTTGTTTGACACCTGGAAAACATAGAAATTCAACACGTGCTGGAGCCGTGTTTTTTACACTTTCGCAACTAAGATGTTATGCAATGTTCATGATACTAAGATTTTATGCAATGTTCTTGATTTTTTGCTCAAAATATGCAGATTATTCTGTTAGTAAATTACGAGCCTGGCCTAGCTAGTCAGGATTTTAGAAAATGCAAGCTATTTGCCAGACGTGCAATCATATATCAATCGATAAAAAATGTTAATAGCCAACAGCATGACGTCATACATTCCGACGCATAATGTGCAGAATGGATGGCTTTTTACTGAAAGATAAGAAGTTCGATGTATACTCAATAAGTTTATTTTTGAATAATTGTGAGCCATGGACCAAACAGATACAGTTGAAAATCACACAGGTTAGTTGGGCAAGCTAAATTGAAAATAAAGCGCTTTATAAAGTAATTGAAAAACTGAGATGGAACATCCTTATTAGAAAGATATAACTTGGCATGCCCTGTCAGTTTACGAGAGTCTATAGTCCGTGAGAGAAAAGGAAGGATGGCCCAACTAAACTTGAATGAAGAACTTTGCCAAAGAAATTGGATGACTGTTCGCAACAGGCTAGCGTTCTTTAACGATACTCCTCCAAGATGCAAAATAATCAACTGGAAATCTAACGACAGTACATCGGAATCAAAGCTAAACTGAAGCCGAAGAAGAAAAACTTCTGTCTACCGAATCGAAAAGCAAAAATCTGCGTTGTTGAGAATGTAAAAATATAGAATGTAATAACCCGTCTTTAAAATACCGGAATTCTTCCAGATTACCGGTAAATTTTCTTTTCTTGATACCAGTAAGAACATTTCTCATGCAAAAGCCCTCTCGTCTTTTGTGACCCGGCTTTCGAGAAAAGGATTGAACCATCGTATAGGAATTAGGGATGCCGCAAAACTATTCCATTTAGTTTATCCCATGGTAACTTGAGCGGATTTCCATCAATCTCCTCTAAAAATACTAACTGCGGTCTGAAATAATTACCAACACTGCGTAGCAGAATTTCTTCGTCAATCCATTCCGTTATCGGCTTTCTTAAATCGCGTTCGCCTTGCTTCCTGGAGTCGGGCCCTTGGATAGAAGACTCATATGAATCGCGTTTTGGATGAAAACAATCCACTCTGTGAGTCTAAGATATCTTTTTCTGTTGCAAAATTTGCTTTGTTTTTGTTGCAAACTAGACTTAAATCTTTCGCAATCCAGTAAGGAGAGCTTTTGTGAATATAACAATTAATAACTAATTTGTGCGTAGAATATATATTTCTAGCCTTTGTTAATGTTCAGAGGCACCTGAAGATGTCATACTCCTGTCGGCGTAGTAAATATTGTGATTGTATTTACCGTTCCAATAGTCGGTAGTGTTTTTCTAAGCGTTTTTGGTTGTCTAACAATTCAAATTAAAGTTAGGTTTGCATCAACAGTAGCAGAATGACATCAGTTGTAAAATAACAATTAAAGTGATAGAAATCATAATACTAACCTTCATTTGGAAAGATTTTCGTCTACTTCAAAGGAAGAAATTTTCGCGAATCAAGAAAAGCGCGAATTTTTTGGAATTAACTTTCACAAAAGAGGCGAAATAGAATCTTTCGCGCGAATAAACTTTCCAATTTCGTGCGATAAACATTTCTATTCAACTTAGGTTTTCTTCTGTTGCTATGCCACTCAATTCCAACAAAACAACGAAAACAGTTTTGAAATTCGTTAAAAACAATCATTCCTCATCAAAATTTCGAACAGGGTCAATAGCAAAGTTCTCTGGATATTTCCCGAGAATAAACTTTGGCGACTCTCGTACGCGAACGTTTCTTCCCGCGAACGTTTTTTCCCGCGAAAGTTTCATCTCTTTAGAGTATTTAAATGCTCATACCTCTCATCCTTATGATTTGAATCATGATGGCGAATCGATATGAAAGCCCTTGCGACTGATCCTCTAAATAAAAAATTGAGATTAAACTTACATAAGTTGTAACTCCATCCTTCAACTTTCATAATGAACTCGTCATAATGAACTCAAACATTGCACGCCGCGTTATTAAATTTATGTTGATGATGTTGGGGCCACATCTATCACACAATCGTGGGGGATTTATACAGCGATGAAGAATGTAGTTGAACAGACGTTCTTTGATATCATATCAAGTAACGTTCTTCATTTCAGCCTTCTACTTCTTTAGGCTTTCGAAAGGCGAGCTAGGTGATGGGGATTCCCCGATCCCATTCAAACTGACAGTGAACCCACGTTTTTACATCTAAGGGCAGAAGTTTTTATGTGGTTGGGAGATTCGGCATAAACTATTTTTCACTATTATATTTTGATTTTTTATGCGTAGTTTCGGATGTACATCTTAAGCTGATCAACCGGTAAATTCAAATTAAGCCCTAGTTTTGAAGAAAACACTTTTTGAATTAAACTATTAACCTCAGTTTCAGGTTGAGGACCAAACTTTTAGCCTGTTTTTAAGTTTTGATGATGTTGGTGCATACGGTTTTGAGTTTATGACGACGTAAAACTGAATATTTTTTAAATACAAGTTTCACCTAGAAAGTTCAAAAACCGAATAAATGTCAAACTTTACTTCGTCATAAAATGTTGAATATTAGCACCAACAGTATGCAAAATAGTACCACGACGAAAAGTATGATGATAAATCCTAATCTGATTTATATAATGTCGTACAATGAAGTTTGCTGTAATTTCTAAAACGAGGCTGTAAATTCACTTAGTGTATGCGTCAAGTCTTTTTCTTAGCGAATTGACTTTGTCCCATCGTGAGTGGGTGTCTTCAATTGGATAAAATTGTGCAGCCTATGAGGAAGCTTTGATCACACCCATTTCCCTTCACGTGTTGGTGGCTGGCACCGCATTGTCAGGCAGATCGACTTTTATTCGTCCTTTTCCCATTGATCATGTTGAGAATTATGCCGATTCAGTGCAAACATTGCTTTATCTTCTAAACATGACAAGTCTACGCTCAGTGGAGCCCCCAGTGTAGAGTTTAACTGTTATGGTTTGCATAGGTCGAGAAATTTAAAATACAATACATTATGCGACGATTGACCGAATAGCCTTAACACAGTTGGCCATAGAAACATTACTCGATATGCATAATCTATAAGCCTTGCTAAGCGGATAGTTGACTGCTTTGCGTGTATAATACCGTCTTGGATACAATTCAAAGTCTCCAAAGTTACCTTGATAAATTACGTTGTTGACATGGATTTTTCAAGTCCTTTCTTGCGGAGAAAAAAAGAGCAAGCAGAACTTGCCAAGGTGAGCAAATCCTTGAGTTCAGCTTTATGTTTCTCGTTGCTCATGATTTAACTGACGTTGAGTTTCGGACAAATCTCGTTCCAATATTTTAAACTACGAGTGCTGCATCTTATCAGAATAGAAGCTAGGTTCTGGTTTTGCTATCTATGATATTTTTATTGCTAACCTGTCTCAAGCCTGTTCAATGAACAAGCAACGTGGGATCCAAAATCCACCATATGCGTTTTACTATTGATATGCTGTTGTATTTATACCTAAGTTTACTCCTTATTTTTATGTTTTGCGGCAATTACACTCCTATTAATCTTTTAATGCAAAGCATTGGCTGTGGGCACACAAGGCGGCTGAAAATTAGCAACCGTTCTGTTATACTCTCTTCACTGTTCTATGGCTGTCCAATCACTCGTTTTTTTGCGACATGCTTTTCCTTTTCCTTCGTTAATATTACTGGGCTTCATTTCAGACGGCTCTAACTGAAATTTGATTTGATAAATATTTAAAAAAATATTGTTTCCCAACTTGCCAAGACATCTGTGCCGTTAAATGTTTTCGAAAAAATTAGTGGCCATGTTTACAATGTCTCTGTTCCATGATGATTCGAGCTTTCAGTACCCCTATTACTGTCTACGAGCCCTCCAGGTCTTTACCTTCAACACATAGAGATGTGAAATTGACGAGTATTTAAAGGGAAATAATAGTCTTTCAAAGAATAAGACGACGAAGATCCTCACCTCATGATCCCCTATAAAATTTACTTTAAGCTTCAAAGAAGACTAAAAAATCCCAAAACTTCTACCTCACAATATGATGAAAATGCATCCTTATGTCAGATATAATGATATTAAATGATATTAAATATACTGGGTGTTCTCCGGAAAGGTTGACTCCCCCCTCCCTAACCCCCCTCCCAAGCCCCCTCTCCTCAAGGTAATAAAGTTCATGTACGAGTTTTGTGAAAATTTACAGGCCACATAGAAACCGCTTTGAAAAATATCTTTTTAGTTACCAATTCTGCATTAAGGTCGCTTTTTTAAAAGCATTTACGTAGTTTATGATTCGATTTAATGTAGCTGTTATGCTTTCAGATAATTTACACCTGCTTCGTATAGTTTGATTATATATCAATCTCTATTGTTGATTAAACAATAAATGAGTCCCAAGTCATAATTTTTATCTCACCGAGCTTTATCGTGGCCTGGTTCTATTATCATTTTTCCTTTGCTCCACAGTTTCCATACTTCTGTTTCATATTTTCTATTGCCAAATCAAGTTGGAAAAATGACAGGTTTAAGGTCATGTTCTTCTAATCAGGAAGCTCGCATCTTTTCATGTTGGCTCGTATGAGTCTGTCAAGTATTTCCTTTAGTTAGTACAACTATCTTTTAGTTAGTACAACTGTGATATTTTTCATACCTTAAAAGCATGACAGCGCTGAGATTTGTATCTTATTCATCCTATTAAGATTTCTTAATCAATTCACTATCCATTTTTATCCTTTTTGTAATCACACCATCGAGCCTTACATTAACATATAGATATCCAAAAAATCTTCTTCTCTTTCATTTGAAAATGAAAAAAGGTTTGGTTTATTAAATAAGTAAAACTTCTGTCTTCTTTCTCTTTGTCTTGTGTTGAATTATGCCATCCTTTATTTTATTCCTCACATGTACTGTCAGCTTTTATCTCTGAATTGTGAAGCTGTTCGGCCTGACTGTCTTTACATAAGCCTATCTTAACACATAATGCCAAAAAACTTTATTCTCGATGCATTTGACCTATCTAATGTCAAGAAAGCCATTAAATTTTCACGAGGTTGTTATCTTAAGCCACGGTTTAAAGAATCGATGTTTTTCACTGCCCGAGTAATTCTGTGGAAGGAAAAACTGACTCAAACATTGAAATCGATTATTTTAATTGTTTTTTTGACGAGGTCTAGACGTCAGAAGTGCTAAAATAAAGCTATTCTCCACATATTCTGTACAAATCAATCATTCAGTGCATTGTTATGAAGGAAGTATAATACAGTTTGATATTAACTGGGGGGCTTCGACCCCCCCCCCCCCTGTTTCCGTCGACCCTGATATTGATAAACATGGCTGCTGGCAAACTAAAAAGTGATCGATAAAATTGTATTTGAATTGCTATGCCATCCAGAATGGCCTTGAGTATCCTTTGAAGTGAATTGTGCGCAGGTTTCCTGATTGTTTTCAGCTATATCACTGTAGCATCTAATTAATGCAGTTAAGTCGCGCGAATGTGGATTGCATCGATTGCTATTGTTCAAATCTTATCCCATTCTCAGCTGCTAATGACAGATTGCATTTCTTCGTGGTTTCTGTTAAACTTTTCAATCAAAGATTATTTCTGTACATAATCCACATATTACACTGTCGCACTGGTTAGCTCAATCTGTCCATTAAGGGTGCTAAAGTAAGATGAATTTTCGCTCAACATTACATTTACCATCGACTCCTCCAAGCACCTGTTAGGCTGGAGCAAAGCCTTCGATGAACTTTACCTTTCAAGGTGGGACCGTCTGTTTGCAACGGGAACGATCTTACACTAAGTTGCTCTGATTGTGACGATGCTGTTGTTGTTTACTTTGGTTATTCAGTCAGCCTTTTCATATTGAGGCCCGGTCGCATTGTACGCCTGCGGAAGTTTTTGTTATTATGGTTTCAACATCCATGTACTCAGTGTTATATCTACATTGCAAAAAAACCTTCAAGCCTTTGCTTCATTGGATTTGTGTTGATCACCTGCTGTTAAGACTTCTTGCAGTATAGTTTGGCAAGGTCGTATATCGACCAGCTTAAAGCAGCTCTTTATGTGATGATGCTATCGCCTGAGGAGGGATTCAGGCTTCTTTCTTTAGATGAGCAACCTGATCATTGGGAGGTGAGACTAAATACGCATTTACGAAGAATCTTCATAGAAATAATTTTTTTTATATCTATTTTTGCACCTATAAGTTTAAAAGTTCCAAAGCGGTTTTAAACGATGCTAACATATTATATATTTGTTTTGAAGATGAATTTCTAATATTGTTATTGTTGATGTTTGGTTAATTTGCATTACTATAGTGATAGCCACAAGAAACTTCATTTTATAATGTTACCGGACCTCTAAGATGTGGAACCTTTTCCAATTAATTTAGTTCCCAGAATATTTCGGTCATAATTTTACCTCTTCAGCTTCATAAAGCAGCAGTTCTGACGTAAAATTTGTTTTCTTGCACAAAAAACGTGTGTTAACTCAGGTGGCGTTGATCTTGGTTTCCATAGTTTGCGCCATTCTTCTGCAGGGTATCCGGTGGAATTAGGCAATCACTGCTGACTTTGTTCTTCATCATTGTGAAGAATGTCTGTTAGCAAATATAGCTGTATTGAAGTGCTGTTTGACATTTTGTAATCAAAGGAACTCAATACCTGTCCTCTCTAATGAAGGTTATCGTTTGTTTAATTTTTCTAATGTAATCATTTGCAAGAAAAACCTGTACTTTTGAAGGACGAAAATTCAGATAGGATCCAACTATTGTACTAAGGACAATGCGGCAAAGCTTTAAGTTGTCTAAGATTGCCGCTTTGGCAAAAGCAATATGTAGTTCTTTCCATAGGTTAACTTATGTACTTAACGAGCACCTTTGAGTCTGCGGAAAA